CAACCGTAGCACCGGCGAGTGGTTCCTCGCTCCACGGTTAACAGTTAGGCAAGTACCCCTCGCGCCGGCCACCGGGCTATCAGAGCGATTCGATCTCGAGGGCGGGCTGGGTGAGTCCCCACGTGGGCTGCAATTGAGCTCCATGCCCACCTCCGCCAACGGGAAGGTCCATCGTCCAAAGTGCTAGCTTGTTCAAAAGACTGCTAAAGAATTCTTTGTTGTCTTGCGCGGGTGATCGTGACCGACGGCTTGCCGTGCTCACAACGGCGACCTCGATGACAATCCAATAGGATCACAATCGCGCATTACCGAAATTACTGACCACGGCAAACCAAAATGCCAGGGGCAAAACATTACCGTTTTGCCCATCAGCAACACACATTCATGGCACGTGTAGGTAACATTCCGGTTCGGCCGGAAACAGTTGCTCACGTTACGAAGGATTACAAGGAACGAAAGAATGGTGCGCCTATCCAATTTTCCTGAAAGATAACTTCTATTTTAACCAATCAAATCATAGAATCTTTTTAGAGCAATACGATTGGCTAAAAGAATTTTTTCCCACGCGAGCTAATATATTAAAATTCGTCACTAATAGTATTGACGCCACTTTCGTTTTCACATGAGGTCGGTTCAAAAGCTCTCCTACAACATCTCGACGAGACTAGAGGCTCAAGACCCCCTTGAATAAATGAGTGACAAAAAAAGTCGCCATGAAGCTCGACATAGCACGTCGAACGATACGGATGTGGGCAAACAACCGTTGGGACATTCTTGCCTACGAAGGCAACAAAAAGCGAACGAAAACCGAGCCCGGTGACCGCACAGAGATGTTTCCTGATCCAGCTGGACTCGAGACATACATATCAACGACTTGCGAGTCCAAGAAGGAGCGTTAATGATGGCATCTATAACCAATTGGATTAAAACGCAACCAAGCTGAGTGGCTCCGAGCGTACATCGCATACAAAAAGCCGGGCACCAGATATCAAGGACTGCTGCGCCTCCTTCAACGCTTCTGCAAACGCCATTGGTTTTTTCGTCAAAAGGCTGGAAAGAGCAAGCACAAGCAATGCGACTTTAAATCGAAGCAGCATGAATTCGCTGAAGAGTATCACCGCAAATGGCATTGAATTGGACCTGACTGCACCTACAACGTTGATGAGACCGGGTTCTACTACGACATGCCACCGAAGTATATCTGGGCGGTGCGAGGAGGCAACGCTAAGATCGCGACCGGCGAGAAGCACTCTCTGCGGATGACTGCGGTCCTTACCGTCAAGGCTGATGGCACCAAACTGCCGATTCTGTTTGTCGTGCGTGGATCCCCGACTGGACGTATCGCAACAAATGAAGTACCAACGTACCCCCGTGGTCACTTCTACGCAGTTCGAGAAAAAGCGTGGATGGACAATGACGTGTGGCGTTCCTACCCTCGGGACCTCTTGGATACTACGATCGATGGCTCCTGTGTTGTCTTGCTTGACAACTTCGAGTCGCACATGACGGACGAGTCCTACAAGCTCGTGGAAGAAGAGTTGGGAAGCGCCCTATGTTCCGTACCTGCGAACATAACTGCTGTCTGCTAACCCTTGGAAGTGGGGGTCATGGCTCCTTTCAAGAGATACCTACGAGATGAATGGTTAGCTGAAGAGATTATTGAAGGTGATGATGGCGAAGTTTACGAATCACCAACCGCTGCTCAGAAGCGCATTGCAATGATTCGCCGTGCAATCTTGGCATGGGATCGAGTTTCTACTGAAGAAGTTCGTCGAAGCTTCACGCAGGCCATTCCGATGCCTGCCCACCAACGGACGACAGAATTTATTCCACGTGAATTTTAATTGATCTTTTGTTCTCCAATATAATTTTGAAGATTGAAATTGTTAATTGAAAATAATCTTACGAAAAGATTTGACATTGACCGGGGCTCGAACCCTGGCCCCCTCATCTTGGATGTCGTCGAACTAACCACCGCGTCAAACGCTTAACTGTCCATCGTACCAGTCACTGGCGTTACTCTAAATTGAAAGGAAATGTTGCATTTCAATCGGTTAGGCTCAAGATTTGCGCGCGTTTGAGTTTTATAAATTAATACACCTCAAAATATGAATTCACAACGGTGAAAATTATTATTGAATGGCGGTTGGAAAACCTCCCGAAGTCGGAAGTTCATCAACCAATCATTATGCACATATGCTCCCAAGGTAGACGATTCGATCCCTGTACAGTGAACCCCGGAAAAAGCCGACACCCCTAAAAAAGCCGACCACCTCTGTAAGATTAATAAATTCTGCCACCTGTATATTTCAATATCACTTCATAATTGTCATTCTTTTTGACCAATTGCAGTGCAGAACATAAACTACTGTGATTGGTTAACGATTTGAAAGTTCAAACGCATTCTATATTAGAGCAGAGAATCATATTGCCTATCATGCCTAGCTGTCACAACTCGTATACTCGTATACCATCGGCGAGAAGCAAAAACTTCTTGCGTCGTTGTTGTTAATTTTGCTTACTAGGAGACCTTCACAGCATTTTGGAACCATGCCTGCGAATACCACAAGCG